AATTTAAATAACTATTATACAAAACACAAGCTGATGGTACATTATACTAAAGACTGAAACAGATGTAGTAAGTATGCTTTAAATTCTAATTTAAATAACTATTATACTAAAACACAAGCTGATGGTAAATTATACAAAGACTGAAACAGATGGTAAGTATGCTTTGAATTCTAATTTAAATAACTATTATACTAAAACACAAGCTGATGGTAAGTATGCTTTGACTTCTAATTTAACTAACTATTATAAAAGAATGAGATTGATAGCAGAGTAAATGGTAAAGTAGTACACCATAGCAATCAATTAAATTATAAAATTTTAATTGACAAGATATTATAGAATTTATTTTAAAAATGTTAAATTTATTGAATTTACATTTTTATTAATAAATCCATCTGATAACACTAAAACAATTAAATTAGATATGATGGCAGATAAGATTAAAAAAAAATTTATCATTAAAGTAACAAATGATAATGAAAAAAAGATAGTTAATGCATTACTAGATTTATATCACGTATACTGTGTTGATGATAAAGATAATAATATTTTATTAATTATTGAACCAACAAAATCTTCAGTTTCACTAGGTTATGATGAATGGAAAAGAAAATGGCTGGCAGCATTTAATGGATTAACCAAAATTCAAGTTTATTCACAACATCAATCTACATTATCTATGTCATTTAATGGTTTTTCACAAAATTTTAGGGCTACTATAGAAGATAATATTCTATCAACTAAAAAATTTGTAAATGATGAAATCGAAAAATTAAAAAAATTTATTAAAAATAACTATCAAGCTAAAACTTAAGATGAAGAATAATCCTCATGTTTGACTACATATCACATAACTGTTTGTAATAAGTAATTAATACAAAGTGATATACAAAAGATTCAAAATCCTGAAACAATTATTAAAACACTTTAACAAAATTATATAACACTGCTTGACAGACAAATTAAAACATATAGATTCCATAGTTTGCAAACATTGCATTATACATGCGCATGAAATGTGCTATTACATTACAACCATTGTTAGAACATGCACTAAGACACGCGCTGCTACTGATATTTTAATAACATGATTTTATTAACACTTGATTATTAAAGACGGTTTTTACATTTGTTTCAGTTATTCTTGAACATTCTTCGAATATTCATCGAATCCAATGGGAGTATGACCCCAATTTTCACTTCGTGAAAAAATTTTCCATCGTCGCTTCAGAATTTGATGGGGTTTCCATCTCCTTGCTCAATTTTAGCTACGCTAAAATTTGCGCTGCCGAGCCCCATCAAACCAATGCTTTATTAACAATTAATTTTAAAGACGGCTTTTTGAAGGTTACTTAAGAACTCTGTTATTCTCGAATATTCTTCGAATATTCATCGAATTCCACGGAGTAGTGACCCTAAATTTTCAAAATTTTCCCAACGTCGCTCAGAATTTCGAGGCCTATCCCTGCTCAATTTTAGCTAAATTTGCGCTGCTGAGCCCTTCCGAACCGATGCTTATTAACAATTAATTTTAAAGACGGTTTTAAAGACATTTTGCCTGTTATTCTTTGAATATTCTTCAGAATATTCTTTCGAATGTGGGGGCGGCTCCGACCTCTTTCACTTCGTGAAAATTTTCCCCACCGTCGCTTTTAGAATTTCGAGGGTTCTTATCCCTGCTCAATTTTAGCTGCTAAAATTTGCGCTGCTGAGCCCTCTCCGAACCGATGCTTTATTAACAATTAATTCTTAAAGACGGTTTTTAAAGAGCATTTCTGTTCTCTGTTATTCTCGAATATTCGAATATTCTTTCGAATGTATATGTCTGAATTCTCACTTTTGAAATTTTCCCCACTTTCGTTAGGGGAATTTTCGAGGGTTTCCATCTCTGCTCATTCTAGTTAATACAAAATTTAGCGCTGAGCCCTCTCCGAACCGATGCTTGTTAACATTTGTTTGTAAAGACTGTTTTAAAACATATAGATTCCAAATTTTACCCCTTTGAAACAATGACTTTTTTCATACAGCTTTCTCTTACATGACCTTTTACTGATGGGACGCCTTGAACCATGGTCTTATTTTATGCTGTTATAAAGAAAGTTTTTACTACTATATTGAAACAAACAATTTTTTACACAGCTTTTTTACATGACCTTTTTACCAGAGGGACGTCTTTGAACTATGGTCTTATTTAAGCTGTTATAAAATAGTTTTACCAGAAAGAGACAGTATATAATATGGATTATATGCACTTTTCAAAAGTAGCTAGAACCCCTATGTCTTTATACACTAAAAATACTTAATATTCGCTCATTCGGGTAAAAGCGAGTTTTGTTTTCCCTCTAAAATCAATATTTTTTCTATTCTTGTACTTTCAAATAACAGGCAATAATACGTACTTCTAAAATTCAACTTTTCTATTAAATTAAAATGCCGTCTCTAATAATAAAAACTCTTAGTTTACTTAAGAAAAGCCTCCAATAGATTGACATAGTTTCTTAATTTTACGTTTACAAGTCAATAAAAAGAATTTCAATACCGCCTTACCCATGTTTTGAGTCAAATGCAATACTGGAAAATCGTAAGCCTGGTTGAAGCCTCATAACACTTGTAATTTTCTTTTCAAACACATTTGGTAGATAATGTTCGTGAGTCAATGTAAAGATACGACGACCAATCCAGTCAACTGTAATATCATGAACACAACATTTTTCGCAAAATTTCGTTTCTAGTTAAGTCAAAATTTGTTTGATGTCTTTGTCATCAATGTAGTAAAGCACATTCTCAACTACATCAATTTCTATGTCATTATTTTGATGCATGGTCAATTTATTCTTACTGGATCCATTAATAGTGCTGACATGAATATCTCCAGTAATAGAATCAACAGAGTATACTTTATCAAAGCTCATAATAATCAAATATGGCTTTGGATAAACATCTAAATAAATAATAAAAAAACTATAAATAACAACGATGCGAGTGGATTAAAAAAAATGCAAATTTTTTTAGACTTTAGAATCATAATATTTGGTGAAAGACCAGAATAAGTGTTTTTTGGAAAGAGTTTTTCACTGTAGAAAAATTATTAATAACTGAAACTAGATTGGCTGCATAACTTCTAACCATTACTGTTGCATATTATTTTTAGTGCTATGAACAAGAAACCATGATAATTTGTCAAATCTAAAGTTTATACCTTTGTAAAAACACATTTCTGTTTGCATTTGCATCATTTCTTTGTTGTACTGTTTTACTTCCTTGCATGCAGTTGTGCTATCGTCATTGCCATTTTTATCAACGCAAGTTTCCATCCATTCTTTCACGTCGTCTTTTAGTGTCTCTAACCTTTTCTTGCAAATTGATATGTCGTCATTACCATTTACTATTTGGCCACTAATAGACAGGATTATAAGAGTCCAAGAAACGCTTTGTTGAGTTTGATATCATCTTTATTTCCTATTTGTTAGAAGATGGACGATTATTAATTTCTTTAAAGCTTTCGTAGTAAAACATTTACTTTTTATGAAAGGCTTATCATCAATATAATCATATAATCAGTTTGTTTGTAACTTTTGGGGATGTATAAATCAAGTATTGATTTCTATAATTATGTAACATTTTAACTTCCTTCTCCAAAAAGTATTTCCACGTTTGCTTTCAGAAAATTGATGATGATTGAATATTGTTGCAATAGATTAGGCAAATTGTTCATTATAACGACTCATGCTTACAACAATTCATATAAGTAGGTTTTACCAGCATAGAAAGTTTTTTGAATAAATAGATATAAGGTTTCTAGGAAACGAAAGCATAGAAAGAAATAATACATTTTAATGTCCACTATAAGGAAATGACGCAAATTATGAAATTCACCAAGAGCAGTTTACAAAAAATTTAAAATCGGTTGATTTCAAATTTGTTTTTGTTAACTCAGTTTACCAGATGAATGGGAAAACGTATTGTTAACTAAGCCAGCAAAATTAAATGCAAAATAGTCTGTTGCTTAGTGTTTAATAGACTCGTTTGTCTCTGTAACTACATGCCGTCTAGTTACAGAAAGGGAGGCCCTTTAAGCAATACATGATATTCTGCTTTACAACATCTGTTAGTCGTATAAAGAAGTTCGACTCTCCTAATTATATAAGTTCTGAATTAAATGAAATTTATAAGCATTTTGACAGAGCTGCTAAAGTAAAGAAAGTCTAAAAGCTAAATAGAGGAATGCAACTTTGCAGTATTAAAAATTCCTACTTCTTCAAATATTTTGTTTCAATATTCTTGCAATATTGAATGATTGCAGAAGAAGCAAGAAACATAGAACAAACAGAACAAACAAGAGCCAAGAAATGTATCATTTGTTCTGCATGTACTTCTTGCTCTTTATAATGACTTCTGTATTGATGTTTGATGATGATTTGCGCCATTTTAATTTGTTGATCTATGTACCTCTCTTTCTTTATCATTTCCTTCAATCATAAACTACAGTTTTAATGTCCAATCAAGTATTCTTTATCACATATGCATTTAAGTTTTAGCTTACTATTTCCTATGGCGTATCAATGTAATTATGATTTAATACATTTCCAGACATCCCTAAATATCAATTAGTATAACTTTATCGTTGGTTGTGATCAATCAATTCGTTTTTCTTTTCATCATAAGGATAAATATGAAATTATAAAGAGATTTGCGAAATGGTAAAATTTTTTAAAGAATTTTAGACTAGTCAAATTACCAGATGGCAGCTATGTATATATATGCATGCTGCGCTACCTAAATTACAGAAAATGCTTAAAAACATACAAAATGTTTCATAAAGCTTTAAGTATTTTATAAGATAAAGATTGTGTTAGATTATCTGTTGGATTACGTATAAGCATGACTATGATAAATGAAATGTATGTTCTTAATAAGGAAGTGAAATCCATAAGAGCTATTGTTCTGCATTATGTTATAAACTCTGAATTTTAAGTTTTCTTTATGTTTTCTTTGCTTACCATTGAAGAGGAAATTTGGCTATCAATGAAATTTCTCCTTCGAATTCTGATAAGTTATTTTCTATCCTTCTCCAACAGCAGCTTAGAAAAATGTAACTGAAACAAACTTGTCGTGTCTTAAAGTGCTAGTAATATTGGCTTTTGAATTTTGACATCAACACAAGACGAGTACTTTTCCGTGGACGGGGACACAAATTTTCATGATTTTCATTATATTTTGGATGAAGAGCCATAATTGCTGAAATTTAGTGTCAGAAAAATATGCAACAAAAATATTGTTTCAGCAATTCCAAGAAATACTATTTACATTGAAAATAACAGACCAAATTATTTTAATTCTTATAACAATACCCCGGAAAAAAATGTTTATTTTGACGTTATTCAAATTGGTCAACTATTTCAAGTGTCTCTACAATATAAAAGAAAAATATGCACTGCAGATGTTAGTTTCTGTTCATAGATAAGATACTATAAGCCAAAAAAGAGTATTGTCTATAAACAACTTTTGTTCAATTTTTAGAGTTCATTATATTATGTTTTATCCATTTTCTACTTAACCCAACATGAAACTTTCTAAAGTACATCATTTTCAAACAAGGCTAGTTTCTTAGGTGATTATCTTTATAGATGAACTATATACGTGACGGTGACACAAATTTTCATGATTTTATATATATTTGGGATAAAGAACAATAATTGCAGAAATTTAGTGTCAGAAAAATATGCAACAAAAATATTGTTTCAACAATTCCGAGAAATATCATTTACATTGAAAATAACAGACCAAATTACTTTAATTTCAAATAACAACACCCGTGAAAAATATGTTTATGTTGACGTTATTCAAATTGGTCAACTATTTCAAGTGTCTCTATAAACTAAAAGAAAATGTGCACTGCAGATGTTAGTTTCCGTTCATAGATAAAATACTACAAAGCCAAATAAGGAGTATTGTCTATAAGCAATTTTGTTCAATTTTTATAGTTAATTATAATATGGTTTACCCCTTTTACTTAACCTAACAAGAAACTTTCTAAAGTACATCAAATTGAAACAAGGCTGGTTTCTTAGGTAATTATCTTTATACATCCCATTTGGCATGATTTTAATTTCTCATGTTTTTATTATATTTAATTCATTTCAACGTATTCATTCCCTTTCCTCTCTCAAAATACTGAAAATAAGGACAAAAGACACATTAATGTTGTAAACCCTCCCCCCTTAAACATTTTCAGAGCAAAATTTACGAATTACATTATTCATGATATACATGATATTCTGTTTACAACATCTGTCTGTCGTAGAGAGAAGCTCGACTCCATAATTATATAAGTTCTGAATTGAATGAAATTTCTGAGCATTTTGACAGAACTGTCAAAGTAAAAAAAGTCTCAAGAACTAAATATAAGAATGCAACTTTGCAGTATTGAAAAATTCTTACATCTTCAAATATTTTGTTTCAGACAGTTAAAAGGCGTTTTCCATCTTCAAAAATGGTCTTGTAATATTGAATAATTGTAGCAGAACAAACAAGAGCCAAGAAATGTATCGTTTGTTCTGCATATATTTCTTGCTCTTTAAAATGACTTCTGTATTTATGTTTGATGATGATTTGCCCTATTTCAATTTGTTGAATTATGTACCTCTTTCTCTTGATTATTTCTCTCAATCCTAAATCTTAGTTTCAATGTCTAATCAAATATTCTTTATCATACATGCATTCAAGTTTTAGTTTACCATCATTCTCATGTAAAAACGTAAAACACTTTGCAAAAATTTCATAATTCTTAAATGTCTATGATAGTTTAAAAACATTTTTGTTATCTGTATGGCGTATCAATGTAATTATGATTTAATACATTTCCAGACATTCCTAAATATCAATTAATAGAACTTTATCGTTGGTTGTGATCAATCAACTCGTTTTTGTTTTCATCATAAGGATAAATATGAAATGATAAAGAGATTTGCGAAACGGTAAAATTCTTTAAAGAATTTTAGACTAGTCAAATTACCAGATGGCAGCTATGTATATATATAATGCATGCTGCGCTACCCTAAATTACAGAAAATGCTTAAAAAAAACATACAAAAATGTTTCATAAACTTTAAATATTTTATAAGATAAAGATTGTGTTAGATTATCTGTTGGATTACGTATAAGCATGACTATGATAAATGAAATGTATGTTCTTAATAAGGAAGTGAAATCCATAAGAGCTATTGTTCTTGCATTATGTGATAAACTCTGAATTTTAAGTTTTCTTTATGTTTTCTTTGCTTACCATTGAAGAGGAAATTTGGCTATCAATGAAATTTCTCCTTTGAATTCTGATAAGTTATTTTCTATCCTTCTCAACAAGCAGCTTAGAAAAAATGTAACTGAAACAAAAATTGTCGTGTCCTAAAGTGCTAGTAATATTGGCTTTTTGAATTTTGACATCAACACAAGACGAGTACTTTTCTGTGGACGGGGACACAAATTTTGATTATTTTTCATTATATTTTGGGATGAAGAGCCATAATTGCTGATATTTAGTGTCAGAAAAAACATGCAACAAAAATATTGTTTCAGCAAGTCCAAGAAATACTATTTACATTGAAAATAACAGACCAAATTATTTTAATTTCTTATAGCAATACCCCGGGAAAAAAATGTTTATTTTGACGTTATTCAAATTGGTCAACTATTTCAAGTGTCTCTACAATCTAAAAGAAAAATATGCACTGCAGATGTTAGTTTCTGTTCATAGATAAGATACTACAAGCCAAAAAAGAGTATTGTCTATAAACAACTTTTGTTCAATTTTTAGAGTTCATTATAATATGGTTTACCCCTTTTTACTTAACCTAACATGAAACTTTCCAAAGTACATTATATTCATACAAGGCTAGTTTCTTAGGTAATTATCGTTATACATCCCATTTCACATGATTTTAATTTCTCATGTTTTTAATATACTTAGATCATTTCAACGTATTCATTCCCTTTCCTCTCCTCAAAAATGCAAAGAATAAGGACAAAAAAGACACATTAATGTTGTGACCACCACCACCCCTCCCCCTCCGTAAACATTTTCAGAGCAAAATTTACATTTACCACTTAAATTTTCATAACTTACAATCATCATACAGGAAAGTGGTTTTTCATTTTCACTGAATGCATAAAAGCAAAGTACCTGCACATACTTTTCATTTTTCTCTCATAAATTGTATGTACTACGTATGTTTGTGTCTTATTAACATAATGTCAAGTTTAAGTTGTTTAGCACACCACTTGTGCAATATGTATAAATGCACATCATTAGATTATACTTTTGAACAATTTTTCTAAAATAATGATGATTTTTTCACAATCGTATTCAAAAATATTGAATTGCCATTGAATGCAAACACGTTCTCTTAAATTTATTCAAACAGTTTCTACAAAAACGCTTTCTGCAAAATGTTTCTTTTTACGTTGTTTTTGTTTGTTACGTTGTCTTGTTACGTTGTCTCCTTTGTTACGTTGTGTGACGGGGAATATTTATTATTGATTGCAAAAAATAAACACCTCACCAAAAGTTTCGTTTTAATGTTTAAATTATTCAACAGCTTAATTCCAGTGGCGCAATTTTATTAGGAGTGCAATCTGACTCACGCTACACTCAGCAAACGCCAATCAAATATTGCATGTTGCGCCCGCGATGAAATAGTAAAAATAAGCGCGCAGTGCGTACATGTGGGTAGCCTCAAAGAAATCAGCAGCGATATGCCAAGCGAAATCATGGTTCAGCAACTAAGCTTAGTGCGAAACCGGTAAAATAATAGCGATGAATGGAACGGTCGTTATTTTTTTTACTGTTGACAATCCTGAGCTGTGATATTGTAAAATAGTGTGTCCAACAATTTAGGCAATAAAGACAGCCAGCCAGTCGCAAACACCAAAGACCAGTCACTCCAATAAATGCTTCGTTGCAGTCTACGACATGGATGTTAACTAGTGGTGGCTCAAATCTTTCCTTAGAAAAATAGAAGTGCTATTACAACAGATATTTTAAAAAAATTAAAGACTTATATCTGTAGAACCAACGGTATTAATGCATCTGCCTCCTTTGCCACAAGGATAAAACCGACATTCGTTAATTTCTGTTACAATAAAAAACATGTTTGTAAATGATGATCGTCCAGGTTAATAAAGTCCGGAGAAGGACTGTTTTTGTTTTTGTTGACTGACAATTCGACAACCTTAGCGGTAGTCATCTTTAGAGTCAAATGAGGAGTAAACGTCAGGTTAGCCTTATTTGATATTTGGTTCTTACGTCATTGTATTGTGTGTACAGGAAATGTATTGTCATTGTGGATTAGTGTGATGTGAAATTTTATTTTAGTTGTGATGTGTGATTTAGGTGTGATGTTTTTAGTTGTAATGTGGGTGTCATGTTTTTATGTGTCATTGTGAATTAGTGTGAAGTGTAATGATTGTAGTTGATCGTTTGTTTGAATTGTGAATAAGTCATTTGGAAGGTGCCGGTAATTGCTGTGATCTGTTCAGGGGTTTGTTCCAAGTTGGTATACCAACTTTCTAATGTAAGCCGTTGTCTATAGTCAGTACTGTAAGTGATGCATTTTGCCATGATGTAAGTGATGCATTTTGCCGAGTCCCAGTCAATGTTGTGCTTTGTGATTCGGTGATGTTCGGCAATGTGATTAGTTTTGTCTTGTTTCTTAGTAGCTCGTTTTTGTTCAGTAAGTCTTATGTTTAGTTTCCTGCCAGTTTCCCCGATATAGGAGGCGTGGTAGGCGTGGCAGACGGTGGTAGGCGTGGCGTAGAAATGTGGATGTAATATCAAGCACAACGTTTTTTTAAATGCCTACCCCTAATCAAAATTACTCAGCCTGGCTACAAAGTCATCTAATTATTATTTGAAGCCTTTGTTGCACTTAATGAGTGTGAGTTTTAGTGATCTTTTATAATAAGGACGAAATGCACACAAACATAACATGCATATCATACCTAAAACTTACGAACTTTTATGCATCAGCAATATTAAGCATATTTTTGCATACACCTTCTTTTAAGTTCATTTAACATCTTTTTGAAATTTTTGACTGCA